TTTAAATTTGTAATTATTAATGAAAGTTGATTTAAAATTTTCCATAAATAAATTACTGAAAAATGGGGATAGTGGTGACCCCATAGCCATTCCAAATTTTGCTGATAAAAATTGTCATTGAATTGAAAATAAGTTGACTTCACACATATTGTTAAAAGTTCAATAATGGTGTTAATGCTTAGTTGTGTGCGTTCTTTAAGATTGACGTCATTTTGTAGTTTTTGGTTGATGATATTTAAAGTTTTAACGTTAGTGAATAGACGAACGATATCAAAACTCAAATCCGCAGGGAGAGGTCTGCGGTCACAGTTGAACTTCTTGGTGCAAGAAACCCTGACGGTGGGATTCTTGCTGTGCCGGATCCTATCCAGGAACCCTGACGTTAGGTTCTGGATGTGGTCCAGCAGGTCCTCTGTATCCAGGTCTCTTCGCAGGGTGGTGTTTCTGACGAAGTATGGGGCCTTTCTCACTATCCTCAGTATTCTATTCTGGAATACTGCCAGTTTCTGCTTTTGAGGGGTGCTGGCACCGGGCGTATCAATTGCTTGTAAACTCTGGCCTTAGTTCGTAGGCAGAGTTTACCTGACAGCAGAGGATAGCAGGCATGGAGCTGGAGTCTTGCCTTGACGATGGTGTTTGCCATTTGGTCGTGCCATACTAGACGCTTGTCGTATGTCAAATATGGCTTTTTCTGATTTGGGCAGTAGCACCAAGACTACTGCTATCGGTTGGCCATTTTTCTTCCCCCTCACAGTGGTTGTTGGGTGGAATCCAAGGGCAGTTAGCTCTTCCCTGATTTTGACGTCGCTCCATGACTCAATAACGCCTCTGACCACAACTCTCAGCTGTTTCTCCTCCTCCAGCTGGTAGGTGTGGTACTAGTATTTATAGGTATCTAGTACCCTAATCATCTGCCTGTAGTCTTTGGCAGTTGGAGGGTGAGTTCTGACTCCCTCCTTGGTGGTCACTCTACATCCATAATTGATTTTTTTCGCGAGGGACAATTGGAGGCACCTTTGACCTACGTTCACTTTGCTGCTGGGCGGCAGGGGTGGCCTGCTTTTTCTTATCGCTGGTATTGTCCTCTGGCTGGCTAGTCCTTGTCTGGGCTCCTCTGCAAGGGTCCCTCTTTTGTCCCGGATCCGTGGACAAATTCTGTGCTTTAGAATTGCCCTCGCTGGAGGACACAGGCCTGGCTCGCTTCCTTTTTCGACGGCGATTTGAGCTTTGGTAGCCCTCGCTGTCTGAGGAGTCCGTCACCGGGCCCCTGCCCTCCTTGGAAAGCAAGGGCCTTGATTGAGGGAGCTGCCGCCTCAGCGGGTCCCTCAACTAATTCACTGTAACTGCTGGTGGAGGCTCTCCTCTATTTTTTTCTCCGCAGCCACATTCTGCATTTTGGAGTTCTTGGCGGCTAACAGCGTTTCCGCTTTCACCGCCCGGTCTCTCCCAAATGCAACTTCCAGCATCGTTGACTCAAGTTTTGCCTCGATCACCTCCTTTGCGAGCACTGCTTTGGACTCCTCCATGTCCTGCAACACACACAATTCAAAAGAAAAACTTCAGAACTTTCAGCACTAGCTGTATAAACGTGCTGAAAAGCACACTAATAGCAGCGTAATACAGGAACTTTAGGCAAACCAAGAATGGTAAACCCTTGTAACAGCTTTCACTTCCAACTGCTAACTTCCAACACTGTAGCTCTGCAGAGCGCGATGCGTAGCACGATGTTTATCGATCAAAGTATGAACTCTGTATGGTTCAACTGCTGGATTACCCGTCGTATTTATGCAGCACACCCGTGTGTGCTCATGCGTGGGGGATGGGTGGGAGTTCAAATGCTTCGGCGCACACGCTGTTTGGCGCAAAACGCGCTTCCAATCTGGATTGAGTGCCGTAATTTCGTCTTTTCTGTTAAAAACCTCAGGAAGAAATTCCCATAGACCACGGCCTCAAAGCCCGGAAAACATTCCTAAATGAAATAGAAGTTTGTTTTGATTAACGCATCCTCAAACTAACTTGCGCATGTCATTTAAGCAAGGAGTCGGTTGTGATATATGCGCTAGTGTAGACAATTGTCTTGCTTGTCTTATCTATGTTTATCTCAGGTTACGTGCACCACGTGTTTTTCGAAAACCTGAAAAATGTAAAGGTATGTTGGTGTTTAAATTAAATACATTTGATTATTTTATTATTTTGTTTTCTATACATACAGGCGATGCCGCTGTTATGGACCTAAAGCATTGAAGACGCTAGGGATCACGTGAGAAAATCACACACGAAAAATTTTTGTATAAGATAAGACAAAATGTAATGGTATGTTGGTGTTTAAATGAAACACATTTGATTATTTTATTATTTCGTGTTCTATACATACAGGCGATGCCGCTGTTCTGGACTTGAAGCATTGAAGACGCTAGGGATTACTTGAGAAAACCACACACGAAAAATGTTCGCATAAGAGACAAGTAGGGTTGTCTGAACCTAATTGCTCTTCTAAAACTATTATCTGTATTTTTTTATTTTTACCAGTTTGATTTTGGTTGATTTCTATTTTGCGATAAACATGTTTTCTTGGATTGAAGGAAAACAACAAGAAGAAAAATGAAAATAATGTATCAATGCAAATTGCTATACCTAACTGTATTTCTACACGATAGAATAGCCTATCAATGTAAAACTATTAATTGTATTTTGTTGTTTAATGTAATGTGTAAATGTAAATGTTGTTGTTAAAATTTGTAATTGCTTATAGAATTTTCGTTAAGAGCATATTGCAAAACACTTTCATTGGGATTAAAAATTGTTAATGATGGATCGAGAACAAAATGAAAAGGCAAAAGCCACAGAGCGAGAACATGTAAGGAATATAAAATAATAAGTCTGCAGTTTTTTAGATAAAGTTTTGCGTTTTAGCTCACAATCACACAAACTTATTAAAGTTAGTATTTAATTTATTTATTATCCATTTAATTCGTTCAAGTTTAGTTGTAAGTAACTTTTGTTGTTGAAAAATTACAATAACAGTAAATACTTGATAAAGATGAAATAAAGGATCGTTTTTCTTTCGTTAGATATTTGTATGTATATTCTCTGAACATGCCTTGTACATTCCCAGAAAATACACATGTACATTCACTGAACATACCATGTGCATTCCCAGAGCATACACATGTATATTTCCTGAATATACCATGAACATTCAGTGTATTAACTCTGACAGATTCCTGGGACATACATGGAATGTTCATAATGGAACCCATGTATGTCCCATGAATATACAGGTACATCACATGAATGTTCCAGGTATATTCTGGGAATATAATTTTGCTATGTGGGAAATGTTGACAAATGGACATTCTGAACTCACAATTTAAAGCTGCATCAAAATGGGAACTTTCCGTTTAAAAAAACAGAAGAGGGTGTAGATTTTCCATAATTCCGGAAGTGCCGTCATTTTGAAAATACTATATTCAGACTTGTAGCAACCGATTATGGTGCCTACCAAAATTCATATTAATAAGATTTCAGAAAAAAAACGGGCTTCGTGAATCACCCTGTATTATTATGAATCCGTAAAATCTATAAGTAGGACTGTTTTCTCGGCAGTTTATTTTAATCTTAGGTAACTTTATTCTTATGGATTCTCCTTTAATACATGCATTAATTTTATTCTCGCGGAGCACACTCATGAATTTGAGTAACGCTGAATAGATCAATTAAAAAATGAACATAGGGTAAGCGACTCCTACGCCAGAAATGCGCTTTTTGACAGTATGGTGGAAGTGTAATGGTAGTTGGCGGTGCATGTTCCGTATATTTTGAACTCGGTGGTCTAGACCAGAATTAATCTATCATTGTATGTTAGATGGAATTAACAATTTTTTTTTGGTCGATGTACTAATGATATTCACATATATTTTTGTGCTCTTTGTAAGATCTTGTAGCATTCATAGTTTTAGCACAAAACATTATTTCTGTTTTATTATCACTTAACAATGTTAGACATTAACTGCAAATATCGTGATAAACAAGGCATAAATTAATTGACAAACGTTTGGTGTTTTTGAATCAATCACACAAATTCGTTTCGAATGAAGAAATGATCGCCATGGTCACAGTATTAGGGTTTTGCAAAGACAAATTGCCTGAAAGCGGATGCATTTACGTGGCGCTATACCCAAATTGACACGTTCCAGATTACCGGACATTAAGACACAAAAATGTGATTAAATTATTAGTGCACCCACTAACACTACAATGGCTTTATATAAGACAGTGGCGACAATAGGGCCAAAGCTCCTCCCATTCGCCATTATGGGTCGAATCAATTTGGCACCAACATATTTTGCATTGATCTGTATGGCTCAAGTATCTTTCTTTAATTTGAAATAATTGCCATAAAATAAAATGAGTTTGTCTATATAAAATGCCTTTCTTTGAGAGTTAAGTCAGCTGAATGGAGATGCAATTCAGCACGTAAAAAGAATTGTTCTCAGCAATGGAAATTTAGGTTAGGTTAAGGTTTCCAGTCTTGTTTGTTCCTCGTTATAAATCACACGTTTGTTTTTAAGCGAGCGTATAATAGACCCACTTGCAACCATTATTGAGTAATGTTTATTGTCTAGGTCCCAGGTATTAAAACACACACCACAAACATTATAAGACATTATTTGGCTTTATTCAATAAAAACATAGATATAATTTCTGACGTCTAGATGCAATATGATACTCTATAAAATTCAGAAATTAAGAGCGAAATACTACAAATATGTCAAGTAAAAAGTCAGCTCCATAGTCTGCATAGTAAATACAATAATTTATGCACCAAAATGGCGAATTTAATCACGTGAAGGCCTTCACCAATAGCTGACTACCATTGTCGCCACTGTCTTGTATAAAGCCAGTGTAACTAATACTAACGAAGATGGCTGACGTGATGTCAGACGAAAATTTAGCTCCTAATATGAACTAGAAAAAGGTGGAAAACGGGTGTTATCATTGTAAAAAATGTGTCGTCGAAGTAGCGAAATGTAAAAAGTGCGTTAATTGCTTCCACCCGTCCTGTTTAGTTCAGTTTTCAAAGCAGAAAAACCCAGAATGTATTTATGAAGCCGACAAGGTTAGAAAAAAGACAAGTACGAATATGAAGGCTTTCACGGCCGGTTAAATCACATTTAGGAATGTTTTCCGGGTTTTGAAGCCGTGGTCTATGGGAATTTCTTCCTGGCGTTTCGTCCACAACTGCGGTGGACATTATCAAAGGCGATGAGGCAGTGGGCGAAGTGATCTCCCGTGCTTTCCGACTAAGACTG